TCACGGACAGTTTTCAGCCACCATATGGATGCTGGGATTCAAACTTGGGCTCTCTGAAAGAGCAGCCGGTGCTCTTAACCACTGACTCATCTTTCCAGCTCCAGTTTTAACTTTTTTTTGAAAACAGGGGTCCACAGAAGGACTAGGAAGTGCCAGAGACATGCTGAGTGGTCAAGCTCTGTGATCTGGACAGTTTTATTTAAACAAGAGCAGGTTGATTTTATTTGTGTAACAGTTTCTTGAAAAACATTTGAAAATCATGGTTGAAAGGTGACAACATAGAATGGGAACAATAATTAAAAAAAAAACTCTCAAAGAACTGGTAAATATTATCCTCTTCCCAAGGGGTCCTAGCAAATCTTTAATAATTTCCCTCCCTCCTTCCTTCCTTCTTCCCTCCTCCCCCTTCCTACACTTCCATGTCTTCTCTGTTTTTCCATGCCTCCTACTTCCCTCCCTCCTTGTTTTTTTTTTTTTTTTTCCCCCTTTTGGTGTTTTCAGTTGGGGTTTCCTGTGATCCCAGGCTGACCTTGAACTCTTGATCCTTCTGCCTCAGGCTCCCCAGTGCTGGGATGACAGCCATGCACCACCATGCCTGGCTTCTCTTAGTCTGATTCTGAGGAGTTGCCCGATTCTGGGACATTTGTCTGACAAGCAATAATACTGAGAGCCCCGTGTCTACTCAGCTTCCCGCCCTCTCCTTTATCCTTAGGTTCCATCGTAGTACTAGACACCATTGGTGCAGCTGCCACGATTCAATTCGCTGAAAACTGAGTTTGGAAAGGGATTTCTGGGAATATTACTCTAGAAATGGATTTTCTTAACCTCTGGGCTTTAGAGTTAGGAAATAAGCCCATCAAAAGCAAAGGTTGAAGACATAAAGCACAAGGATGGGGAATTAGTTTCTAGAAGATGGAGCAGGAGGGGAAAAGGAGCTGAAACCTAACATGAGACCTTTTTGTCTTTTGGCTTCATGGAGAGCAACTTCCGATGCAGCAATGACTAACATTAGAGATTTCAGTTGCAAAAGGCTTTCCAACAGTCGGGTAGACCCCAGGGCTGGGATATCTCAAATGGTGCTTGGCTAGGTGGGAGGCAGGTTGACATCTGTCAATGATAAAATGTTCTTAGGTCTAAACTAATGTTTAGAGGCAGGCTGCTAGGCTCCGAGAATGAAAAACCAAGGCCGGGTTCCTCCAGAGCGAATGGGAAGGAACTTCAGTGGCTTATTGGTATAGGAACTCCTTAAGGGGAACTGAACAAGTTCACCTTTACATACTAGACTACATATGATTGCCCTGGGTCTTTGGAGCTTGAGGACAAGGACCCTATTATTAGAAAGATGGACTATACGGGGAGTTGCATTGCCTTAGAATGACTTGAGAGATGGACTCTATACAGCAGGGACCCATCAAACTGAAAGAGTAAATATATCACTGGAAAGTGGAAGAATAGGGATCAAGTGGGAGGGAAGGCCAAGTCAGATAAACAGGTTGTGACAAACAGCTGGAAAAGTTTAAAAAAAGTATATATATATATATGGTTTTCTGTCACAACAGATAATGGCCATAGACTCTTGAGCCTAAAGATGAGAAGTAAATCTACTAGTTGTTTAAGTTTGTCAGAAGAGTAATTAATTTGACCTCTAAGAAATGCAGCCTAGGAATCTTTGACAAAGACTATAAACAGAAGGAACTTACTATAAACACAGCCAGCTCATTCTTTTTGTGTGTATTTTTAGTTAAGTAAACTGATGGTCTTGCTACAATCCTTACATTTCATTTTAGAATCCTCAGGTGCTGGGCTGGTGTTCAGAGGGATCTGCTTCAACTCTGGGTTACTGAGGGAGCTGTGCTTTTTAGACAGACCCACAAAATCTTGATGAGAGCTGAACGAAGTTGAAAGAATTGGAAAGTAAAACAATTTGGGGAATGGGGCTTTCAATTTTATTTTTCAGATAACAGTTCCTTGTACAAAATCCTATATTTTCCCCTGTAAGCCCTGAGAATTTGGTTAAATTGGCTAGCATCAATAATTCAAAGGTTTCTCATGCCAATCTGAAAGGTGGATCCTAAAAATGCCTGTATGTTTTTGACATGCAGACATTACAGTTTTTAAGACCAGGAGGACTTTAAAACCATCTAAATTAAATTGCTTTCTTTTTAGAATAGAAAACAATGAGGTTTATAAAAACTATGACTTGCTTAATGTCAGAGCAAGAGAGGCTGGTTGGAACCCAAACTAAAACCTGGGCTTTTACTCCAACCACCATTTACCATACTGGATTTCTAGTATTCCTTCTCACATGGCAAGCTCAAACTTAAAAGAGAACACAGTAACTGTAATCTAAGTGTTCAGGTTTAATACTTTATTATTTTCAAAGAGTTAAAATGGTATTTTAGTAACATAGGTTCTAAATGTAGTTGCTAAATTTCCTATTTAATCCTCAGTTGGTGGTGTGTATGTGTGATGATCTCTATGTACAAGATTTAAAACATTCATTTGTTCGGTTTAGCTGAAATGACCTATTTTTTTTTTTTTCCTCAATTGTCTGGTGGGAAAAAGATCCAATGAATTTTTATCGTTAGACCATCTGGGTAACGAACCAGAAAACACTATTTTTTTTTTCTTTTATCCAATACATAGAAAAGCAAAGGAAACTCAGGTCTTTTCTCACATATGTCAAATTCTTGTGCTAATTTCTTAGTAATTTCTACCATGTATGTGAACTGTGACCATATGAAAATGATCTGCTTGAGGCCCTGGCTGTGGGGTGAGATTAATTGGTAAAAAATAGGCCTGTTTGTGGGATTTACCACACAGTAAGGTTTCTCATCTCCCTGGAAAAATGTGGAATTAGCTTTTGAGAAATGCAGGCCTGTCATGAGGTTGGCAACGGCTCACTCTCTAGGCAGTTATGATTGGTTGGATTCCAGAGCAGGCCCTTTGGTACAGCAAAGTTCTTTTCTTCCCACTTTTAAGTCCATCCTTCCAGATGTCACCAGTCCGTCACAGACAGCATCTTATCTGGCTTCTTCCGAGGCTAACCCATGCAAACTGCTGTGTGGTCTTGAAGAAGACTATGGGACTTCCTTCCCTACCTCCCTGTCTAGAACACATTATTACAGGAAAAAAGCCTCTCAAATTTGGAAAGAACAGCAAACCTAGGCTGTGGTAGAGCCAGGCAGGATGTGAAGCGGTCCGTAGGTGTGACAAGGATGCCCAGGACTGAACTTAATTCTTAGCCTCATGGAAAAGGGTTCTTCAGCAAGACGCTGTTCTACAGGGTGCCCCCCCCCGCCCCCCAGACACTGTGTAGGGACAAGCCTGCTGCAAGCTCCAAGAATCCTCGCTACCTTGGAGGCCCCATCTTGCCAGTGATGATTCTGCCCATCCTGGCCCTGGTGCTGGCTGACCCGCCCTGGGTGGCATCTCCACTCACACAGTCCCAAGGTGCACTGGGAACCCAGGCCCCTCCCCCTCTTTGCTGAATCCCCACTGGGCCCTTACCTGGGGTCAGGAGACGGGCTCCTCAAGACCTCTGGGTGACCTGCTGGAGTCTAGCTGGGACTGAGTGTGTGACTTACCACAAGAGAAACTGCTGGGGTCCTCTCCATCTTCAGATGAGCAGTAGGGGGTGGGGTTCCCCTCCATCTGTAGAGCGGTGGGGGGTGGGGATCCCCTTCAACCGCAGAGCGGTTGGGGAGTTGGGGTTCTCCTTCATCTGCAGAGCAGTAGAGCAGTGGGAGTCCCCTCCATCTGCAGATGAGCGGGGGGGGGTTCCCTCCATCCGCAGAGCAGAGGGGTGGGGGGTCGCCTCTATTTGCAGAGCCATCGAGGGTGGGATCCCCTCCATCTGCAGATGAGCAGTCCAGGGTGGGGGATCCTGTCCATCTGCAAATGAGTTCAGGGGTGGGGGTCCCCTGTATCTGCAGAGCGGTCGGGGGTGGGTGTTCTGCCGTCCGGGCGCCCACGCGCGCTCCCCAGCGGGGTCCGGGACGCGCCTCCCGACCGCGGCTGCTCCCGGGTGGTGACCGGCGGGGTCGCGTGTGCGCGCGCCCGGCCGGCGGCGGGGCA